TTACAGACATACTTGCTGACAGGCATTTTGAAATAAATTACCAAAATAATTGAAACTGGCATGATTATATTATGTTATTTTGACAAATAAAATATGCAGAATTTTGCAAAATGTTAAAAGATTGTGCACAGGTTTTTTAATGTTTTGGCACAGAATTACCCCAGGAGTAGAAAGTGAATAGCATCCTTCACTCTAATCTAGAGGATATACCATCAACATATGTCTACTCTTTTCACAGTTTCTTTTGCACCCTATTTTAAAGATTAATAATCAGTTTCACTCTGCAGCTGGATCGAGCTGAAAAGTGCTTCTGTTTACACATTATAATACTGTGGGACAAAAGCCACAGATTACTACCACTTTGTCAAAGCATGTCTTATGTTAGCAAAGATCAAACAGATTTGTATTGATGTTTGAATATGCATTATATAGCAGAAATCTGAGTCTGTTGGAGAAAGGCACTATTGGTTATGTGAGAAATTTCTGCATCTTCTAAGCCTGTCAGTTTCTGACTTGTTTCTAACTTGTTTATTTTCTTTCAGCATTTTCCTTTTCCCCAGCATTAATTATTTTATTTCTGACCTGGTTGTTGACCTATACGGACAGTCCCAAATTCAGTTTCAGTGTTCTGATTCTAAGCATTTACGCATGTTACTTCTGGCTAGTATATTTCAATCTGAGCTGTCAGCTATTCTATGGATACTACATAGATTTTTCTCTTCCCCGTGCAGTTTCTGGATTCCCAAATTTCCTTGAATTTAACCATTGGTAAGAAAAAAAAAACTGCTACAGCAATACTTAAAAATAAAGTATATTTAGAACTTAACAGTGTCCATTTGACAGCCCTGGAAAGCAACATACTCTCTACTAACAGAACAGTTACAGCTTGTGTAATGAAAACCTAAGAAAAAACAGTGCTAGCTTCCCCATACAGTCCTCCTACTGTGCTACAAGCATGACACAGAGGGAACACCATTCAGGTCGGTAAGGTAAGTCAACTTCTGTGCCCATTCAGTCTCACTACTCAGCTCAAAATGACAGCAAGGATGCAAATTAGAGCCAATTACGATGGTGATTTGTATAACAAAGACATTTATCCTGTAGGAATTGGATTGACTCACTTCACATAGACCGATGGACTTAGATATGAAAGAAATAGGTGCCTCAGAAATATGTAATATAAAGAGAAGTGCTACAAGAACTTTCAGTGACTCTTAGACTGTGTGACGCTATATAGAATATGTGAGACACGTTCTGATATTGATACCAATATTGTAAAATGAGTCTTACCAGATATGTAAGGCCCTGCCAAATTCACAGTCCATTTGGTCAATTTCATGGTCTTAGGATTTTAAAAATTATAACTTTCATGATTTCAGCTATTTAAATCTGAAATTTCACGATGTAATTGTAGGGATCTTGACCCCAAAAGGAGTGGTGTGTGTGTGTGGTGGGGGGGGGTGTCGCAAGGCTATTGTAGTGGGGATTGCGGTACTGCTACTCAGATTTGGGCAGCTGGAGAGCCGCGGCTGCTGGCCAGGAGCCCAGCTCTGAAGGCAGAGCCACCGCCAGCAGCACAGCAGAAGTAAGCATGATATGGTATTGCCACCCTTAGTTCTGCACTGCTGCCTGCAGAGCTGGACCCTCAGTCAGCAGATACCAATCTCTGGCCGTCCAGGTCGAAAGGCAGCAGCACAGAAGTAAGGGAGGCATGATATGGTATTGCCACTCTTACTTCTGTGCTGGTGCTGGAGGCGCTGCCTTCAGAGCTGGGCATCTGACCAACAGCTGCCACTCTCCACCCACCCAGCTCTGAATGCAGCACAGAAGTAAGGGTGGTAATACCGTGACCCCACCCTGCAATTCCCTATTGGGTCAGGACCCCCAATTTGAGAAACACTGGCGTCCCCCGTGAAAGCTGTATAGTATAGGGTAAAAGCACACAAAAGACCAGATTTCATGGGAGGAGACCAGATTTCACAGTCCGTGATGCATTTTTCACAGCTGTGAATTTGGTAGAGCCCTACAGATATGCCATGTAAGATTTCAGTGGAAAAGTTATAATTTGCTAAATATGATAATCACATTTATATGTAAGTATCATCCTTGTATTGTGAGTTATAAATATGTATGGTATATTTGCATTTCAAACTTGTGCTGTGCTTCTGGGTGACACCTCTCCCAAGACAGATTGGCATCAGCACTAGCCAGCCTACTGGATCGTCTATCAAAGGCAATCAGATATACAATGAATCCATTGAGAGAAGGCAGGGGTTACACCTAAAAGTCAGCAGGAGATGTAGGGACATGCCGGTGGACAGGGGACTCTGCTTTTCCATGCCCACATGTGCTGTATGTTTGTGTTTGGGGCAAAGGAAGTACAAGCCACATAGCAAAGGATATAAAAAGGCAGATTCATCTTCTCCATTCTGCTTTCAATCCTGCTTCCTACCTCTGGAGTAATTTTTCTATAAACTGAAGCTCTGAACAAAGGACTGAATGGCCCATCCAAGTTGTGGATGCGTTCCAGAGGGACTTTCCAGCCAGCAAACTCACCAATACTGCTAAGAACCTGAGATCTGGACTTCGAAGTCTTATGTATGTATCTGACCATTTTGTTTTTTTGTTATCCCTAAATGTATTCATAACCTTCACTTGTGTGTGATATTTATTTGCCAATTCAGTCAAAGACAGTGAAACTGTCTTTTGTGCAAAGAAACTGCAAAAATCTGTTGCACCTCTACTAGTGACTAAAGCCTACCCACCCTCCAAAAATTGAGCACATGAAGTTGAGATATCTCACATCAGGCAAACCTTAAATGTTCAATAGTTTCTTGGTGTAGACAGCTGTGTGGCATATCTATGGTACTCTTCCTAAAAATAAATCTCTTTAAAAAAAAGCTTTCTGCATTTAAAAGTAATTGTGTTAATTAATGGGGAAAATATTGTTACCCAATGATTTCTTGTCTAGGACTGAACTCTTCCCCAGTGTGAGGCACTGGTCCCCTTCCTGCAAATACTAGAGACAGTTCAGACTTCTCCACAAGGCTCCAAAGTCTAACTATGCATCTTGCATGAGAGGAATGCTTATAAAACTATATTGAAACATTTAATTCTTATTGCTCAATAAATGTAAATTCGGAATAGCAATGTGTTATTCAGTTGTGTTAATTAGGTAAATGGACCTTCGTTGGGTATAGTAGAAAAAAGAGGCTGGTCCTAGGAAGACAATTAGGTAAACAAGTATCCTTTGGATCCTCAGTTTATCCACAATCCAAGATATTTGGGACACAGTGAGCAAGAAGCGAAAATCAGTAGGGAAGGAGAGAGAAGCAGAACAGAACCTGAGGGCACAATGTCATGGGTCCAAAAAGCTTAGATCTCTAATACTATGACAAATTAAAATTGGTAATGAAGATATGGCTGGTTAGCCTGAACATACCAGAAGGACCTGATTCTGTGTATAAGTATCTACATGGGGAACAAATATTTAATAACAGGCTCTTCAATCTAGCAGAGAAAAGTATAATAAGATCCAATGTCTGGAAGTTGAAGCAAGACAAATTCAGACTGGAAAGAAGATGTGAATTTTTAACAGTGAGAGTAATTAACCATTGGAACAATATACCAACAGTCGTGGTGGATTCTCCATCAATGACCATTTTTAAATCAAGATTGGATGTTTTTCTAAAAGATCTACTCTGGGAATAATTTTGGGGAAGTTCTATGGCCTGCATCATTCAGGAGGTCAGACTGGACAAGCCCATTGGTCCCTTCTGGTCTTGTAATCTATGATCCACGTATTCCACAAGGCTGGCACAAAATCAGCAGGGGCAAGGAATCGAGTTCCTCGTCCTCTATTATCCAAACATTTCTGAAATACAAGGATGCATCCCTGAGTGAGCCCAGATCCTCTTTTTCTGAAAAAGAAGGTAAAGGAAAGAATGCTATACTTCTTGCCAATGTACCATCAGCCATTTAAGTACATGGGAGAGGACCCTGGACTTTCTGCCTTTTGAAGTAGTTTTAGGGCAATTTTTGGGCTTAGCCCTGGAAAATCCACAATTGGTGAAGTTGGTTTGGCCCAAGTTGAGTTCCAAGTGTTGAAGAGAACTGAACAGCTCTTGTAAAGGTGTCACCAGAGAAGTCTTGATTAGTGTTGGAGGATACAGAGATCCCAAAGTACTACCTATTTCCCTGAGAAGCTGAGGGTCAGCTGTGGCAGACCTCCCCACCTGTGGCTTTTAAGAGGGCCTCCTCATAATGGGAGCACCTCCTGGCTTTCTGTTTTCTATTAATGTGGCCTGCTGCACCATAACGGGGATAGGGTGAGTGGAGGTAAGATGCTCAGCAGCTGGTTCTGTTCAGGGGTCACAGCCCCGTAAATTTGGGCCCCCCGGGGAAAAGAAATGTAAGGAAATGATTCTGGCAGTGCTAGTTGAAGTTAAGAGTTAAAAGATAGGATGGTAATGGATAAGGCAGAACACTGAATTGCTACTCTGTTTGCTCTTCCAGAGACAGGATTAATTGGGATGAGGACAAAAGGGATGTGCCCACACCCCAGAGGCGCCTGGACAAGTCTGAGCTATTTCAAACATTTCTAGGAAGAGGGGATGCAGCCCAAGTGTATCAGATATAAGGCTCCACAATATTTTTTAATTTCCTCCATCATAAAAATATTATAAAAACAGACAAGACTACATACTTCTATGTAAACAGCACAGCTGTGTACAGTACTTTGGACTAACTGCTTGAGATTTCAATTAGCTTTTATAGTCTAAAAAATTCAAGTGGGTTCTTAATTTCCATTGCTGAATGCCCCAAACTAAAAAGAAAAAACTGAAAGAGACTCAAAGGCAGGCAGGCACACCATTTGAATGATCAACTCCTTTTTCTCATTTCCCTTACACACATAAGCAAACACATAATAACCAATGAATAAATGTCAGGAGTTCACACTCATGAATATATTTCTATACAATTATAAGAAAATGCCTTACCAAGATGTAGACTTTTCCATCATGCCCTTGTATTCTGAATCTAAACGTGCTTCTGGCAGAGGACAGTTCCACGAGACACTGAGCTATAATGTTCTGTACAAACTGAGACCTGTTTTAAAATAAATCAGTCTTAACAGAATATTTTCATAGTAACTATATTTTACAAAACTTAGCCATTGATACCCAGTAAGCCCTAAGAAAACTTTAAATATATGGTGAAGGGTTAAAATTCATGTGCATTTTATATAACAACCTGGTACATGGATTGTGCCAGCTCTTTTCCAGACCCAAAGTCCAGAGTTTGGTCAAGAGACCAGAGGTCTAGCAAATAGTGATTAGCTAGAGAAAACAGAATAAACAAGATAACATTGCCTTTTCTAAGATATGCTTGGTTAGTAGAAATGCCAGATGTTGAAGCAATAACTGAATAATTATGTTTCAAATTGAACAAAGAATCCCTGTTCCTATTGTGTTAGTTTCTTCTATAGGGAGACGTTCTTTCCACAGATTCAACCTTAAGTTTATGAAAGGTTGGCACGTCAGTATAAGATATGGCATCCTCCCACCTGCCTTAAAACACAAAGGAGACAATCCTTATTGCCATATACTTTCACCGTTTCTTTGTTTTAACCCCTAGGAATGTACCTGTTGGACAATCAAAGGAGTTGCTTCATTCCTATGAACCCCAAATCAAAATTCAACATATATATATTTTATACTAATAACATTTTATCAAAGTATTAATTAAATATTAACTTGCTAACTTAAGACCATGGGCAGAGACATTCTGTAACCCGTTAACCATTGGCTAATGTGCTATCTTGTCTTGCTGAAAAACCCTAATTGCTTGTAATTAGCAATTATATGAAAGCATTGCATAAATTTAGCAAAGTAACAAAGATTGCATATTTAGTCACCAAAAGTCAAACAATGTAAAAAAGTTAAGGTTCCAACTACAAAGTTAATTTGACTTTCCGTAATGCCATCTGTACTATATGGTACGCGGTTTACAACAAACGGTAATATATAAAGCTATGCATTCAATTAGAAAAGAGATCACAAGACACAACAGGTATACTATATGCCTGAGTTAAGAATGCTTTTGCATTTCCTAACTCTGTTATTTTAACAGTGCAGACTTAATACTTTATTAGCATAATATTTAATTAAATACCAAAAAAGTAACTATTCAAAAAGATTAATCTTTACCACTCAACAACATTGTTCCAATAACCAAACTGAGCACATTATCTGATTTCTATACCTTGGTAGCATGTCAAAATTTGTTCCAGATTGCTGAATAATCATCTCAGTGACGTAATATTTTGTAGTCCCTAAAAATCAGACAAAAGGAAATTTTTACAACTCAATAAAACAGTACACTTATTTTCTACAGTAATATAATGCAACACCACATTTACTAAACTCCTAGATCAGCATCCAATTAAATGGTGGAAGAGATGTCCAATTTCTTGTTTTGACATGTAGGAGGAGGAGCTGGGTAACTGGTAAAGAAATCAGACATGGCCAGAAGGAAATATCGCTTTAGCTCTTTTTGGAGCTAATCACAAGATCAATATTTTGCCATCTGTATCATTCCCTACTTAACATCAAGCACAACCATTTCCCCCTGGATCCCATATAAAACCAGAGTGGGCAGGAGCCAAAACCCCTGTAGTGATCATTTTAAAAACATGTTATATATTTAAATGCTTGGTGATATCAATTAAAAACTCCTGTCCATTATCTATTATTGCTGCGCCAACCTTGAACAAGAAATGGAAAACACTTAATGGACTAAAACCAGTGTAACTTATGTCAGTACTTCAGTATCCTCTACCAGCCAATGATTGTGAATAACAAACACACGGCTCTAACAAGAGTAAACTAAGGCTTGGTCTACACTAAACCCCCAAATCGAACTAAGGTACGCAACTTCAGCTACGTGAATAACGTAGCTGAAGTCGACGTACCTTAGTTCGAACTTACCGCCGTCCAGACCCGGCAGGCAGGCTCCCCCGTCGACTCCGCGTACTCCTCTCGGCGAGCAGGATTACCGGAGTCGACGGGGAGCACTTCTGAGTTCGATTTATCG